AAATGAGAATGGAGAAGAATTAGATGATTTTATTAACATTCAAAATTCACCACGGTTGCCTATTGCTATATCCCAATTGGAAGAGGACTTTGTTCATGCTACTTGCAATGACCATGATGAAGGCATATGGGAAAATATTAATACAATCTAAGTTATGTTTCTATTTATTTATTTTTTTAACATGTAATTGAGGAGACTTTGCATGTGTATTGATATAATTCTATGTTTTTTTCATTACAGGTAAATGGCATCTCTTCCACCATCTCCACCATCTCCTCGTGCATCCGGAAAGACATTTTCCAGGAAGAGGAGTCGACAATCTACACGGTTGAAAGGCTTGACCGTTAGACACATATCCGGCCGAAGTTATCTCGTTTCGTTGATCCTAGGACTCGGCAAGGTGTCGAGTCCCTTCGAGCACCCAATTTAGAAGCTACTTGGGTACACTAGCTAGAGAGAAGGTATTTATTCTATTTCAAAGTTAATTTCATTTCAAATATATTGTTGATACTTATGTTGTTTATGTTGTGTAGATATCTATTCTCCATCCTACTTGGGATCATGTGGAGGAAACTCGTGAAGAACTTGTTATGGCAAGATCTTCTTGTAAGTATGTGTATTTAGTTGTTTATATTGTTTATACATTATTATCAATTGATTAACTAAAACTTGTTTGCTACTCGTAGGAACACTTTGATTTAGTTAATTCCGAGGATGTGAGGAGGAAGATAATGACAGACCATAGCAAAAATGTGGAGACAGCTCAAGTCCACATTGACCACTAAATGGGTGTATGTCGAGGACAAAGTTAGCAAGGGATTAACCCCTTGCCAAAGATATGGCATAGATGAGGACACTTGGAAGAAGTTTGTACATAGTAGGACTGGTTCGGAGTGGGAGGTAATAGCTTATGGCTTAATTGACTTGAATATTTCATAATGAGTTGTGTATCTAATATTGTGTTCAATTATGTTGCAGGAAAGAAGACAAAAAGCAAAAGACATTCAGAGGAAGAATGTCGCCCCCACCTTCTGTCTCGTGGGGGTACGACTTATTGACTCGGAAGATGATGGAGGAGAAGAGTAGACTTCGACAAGCGGAGTTAGCCTCTTCTCGGTTTAAGCGAAGAGCAGATTCCTCCACCATCTCCTCCAAAACGTCACCGAAGTGGAAGAGGGCGCGCACAAAGCCTTCTGGTGACATGACGTCGCCTCGAAGCCCGAGAAATTGCTGCTCGGATTGTAAGTAAAAGAAGTTAATTTACTTTGAATTAGTTATATGTAACATGTTCATTAATAAAATTAACTTTTATAATGTAGGATGCCTTGGAGGAGCAAAGTGTACACAGGGAACTTTCATCCCTTATGGTCGTCGGGATATCTTGACCACTCGCTATTGGATGACCGTAACATCCAGGTCGTGTTCGAGCGGTTGGCCAAGGTGTGGGTGTCCGACATTATTTTGGACCACCATCACAGGATATCCGCACCTCCACATCCCCGAGCCAAGAAGATATTGCTGCCTTGGAGATGGCTCTCACAGAGAAATTGACACCAGCCCATCGGGGCAAAATTGGAGGAAGAGTTGACTCCCGCCATCGCCGCACGACTTGAGGAGACGATCACCGCACGTGTGCAGGAGCAGCTGCTGCGTATGTCCTCCATGGGTACTTCATTTCCCGATGCTCATCCTCCATCGGTGCATTTTCAACCACAAATTGGATTGGTACTTGACTTGTGTTTCTAAAATCTTAGTCCTTATTGGAATTTACTCGTATTTGTAGGTCCAAGAGTTAGCACAAAGGGCAGTCAGTGCTGAAGCCACTATCGAGGTCACACTCGAGGTGGCATCTATTCATCCTAAATCCACAAAGGATGATCGATATGGCTTGTGGGTTGAGGTAGATGAAGGTCTAAGGCTAGTGGCCCATGGATCAGCTTCATGAAGGGGGTTCAACCATCCACAATGTGCCTTTGGATCCTAACTTGGTCAAAGTAGTGGTTGAAAAGGTGGTTGACGCTGCGGCTAGTGTCCCTATCCCCACCGAAGAGGTGCGAGCAGTGGGCCAAGCCCTTTAGACCTTCATTAGTTGGCCCCGACATTTAGTTAGGTCAATCATGGCAAAGGTATGTATATGTATGGTTATAATACATCTAACACATAAATAAATTGATTTATTGTTTATGATTATATTTTATAAAATATGTAGGATGTTCGGCAGCCAAAAGACTTGGGTAAAGCTATTGCCACTCCTTCTGCATCTAAGGAGAAGACACCAGTTGTGGAGACTTCTCCAAATCCCATTTTTGATCTCTTGTCTCTTTCCCCACAATTATATATGCAGTCATTCCAAGTTCCATGGGATTGTACATTATTTGGGATGGCTTCTAGCAATATCCCCCTCTACATTTCCCACACCGATGCCCTGGAGATTGGGATGGGCAATCAATGTCTAAATATAGCTGTTTTACAATTTTAGACATTGTAAGTTCATATCTTTCATGACTCTTTTCATTTTAGTAAATATATAAGCTATAAGTTCACTTAAATTGGCATATTTTAGGATGATGCACGAAATGATAGTGGAGCAGGGCATTGGTCACGTGTATGGATTCTTCGAGCCTCAATCCATACAAAAGTCTGGGAATAAGCGTGATCAAATTGTCAGTTACATCCAGAATTGGATGACTTGTCTCTAAAAGAGATATTTACCTTGGAGCATACCATCATTCATAAGTTATCCCGAGCCTCTTCCGGTTTTACACAAGTTTTTTTAATAGATTCTAATCATGTGTATATACGTAAACCATCGGCAGCTATTAGTTATTTGTCCAAAGCAGAATCTTGTGTGTTGGTTCTGCTCATTGGGAAGAAAACCGGACATGGAGCTAAAAAATATTGTAAACGAGTAAGTATTTATTATATTATGTCTAAACATCTTGATTATTCTATTTCTAATCCCCTTATTTTCAATATATAGTGCTTTAAAGGTTTGTAGTACATTAGATGGAAAACACACAAGTAAAAGCACGACTCCAAATTGGAATTTTATGAAAGTAAGTAGCCTTTATATATATTATACTATCTATTAATTTACGTTCAAATTTAATAGTTATTTTTAATATATTTACTCATTTTTAGTGTAACAAACAAAATGGAGGCTACGAGTGCGGTTACTATGTAATGTATTGGATGTGGCTCATCATTTTTGGTTGCATTCAGGATAGTTGGGACTAGGTAAGTTGACATTTGCTATTATATTCAATTCCTTTATTTTTATTGCTTAGGGTTTACCGTTCTATTATTGTGAACTTCTTACAGGCATTTAAAGATATAGAACCTTTGCCTATGGATACAATAGACATGGTTAGAAACAAATGGACAGAAAGGTTTGTGCAAGTAGTTAGGAATAATAGGATTGATTGATAATTTTTGTGTATTATGTACATAATGTGGCTGGACTGAGATTGTAATTGTATTGTGTAAATATATAGTGATTATGTGAATCAGCTGAGATTGTGTATTGTGTAAATCGGTCTGGATCGAGATTTATATAGCAGTGTCGTGTAAGGTAGCACAAAAACGGACCAAAATTTAAAAAAAAATGGATATTCTACGTCGGTTATTGCATTAACCGACGTTGAAACGTCTTTCGCTTGAGCGAAACGTCTGGTCGCTTGAGCGAAACAAGACCCGAGCGCCCCTTTGTTTGAAGGCTTCGTCGCTCAAGCGAGTACACCGATCGCTTGAGCGATAAAGGACTTTCAACGTCGGTTATCCAATAAGCGACGTAGAATTTACTCATTTCTACGTCGCATTTGCATTAACCGACGTTGTGACGTCGGTCGCTTGAGCGAAAACTCGGTCGCTTGAGCGAAACAGCAACCGAGGGTCCCTTTGGTTTGAAGGCTTCGTCGCTCAAGCGAGTACACGGGTCGCTTGAGCGACTTCAACGCTCGGTTAGTTCAATAACCGACGTAGATGTCTACCACTTTCAACGTCGGGTATGATGAACCGACGTAGAATCCTTCGACATTCAACGACGCTTCGATTCAACGACGTCATTGGAACCGACGTTGAAAGCCTTCTACACCCGACGTTGAATGCTCATTCTGCAAGTAGTGATGGTTTCCTTTATTAATAAAAAATGTTCATATTCGATATATTTTTCTCGTTTATAATATTTTTATTAACAATTGTTTGACTTATATATGATTAAATATAAAAATAATTTTATATTATGATAATTTAAATATTAAATAAAACATTAATATAAATAAATTATCTTATCCTAATAATATATTTTATATAAATAATTTCTATTAAAGTAATTTTAGTTTAATATATTTAAATTTTTTTAATTTTTTTTTTAAACTAATATTTTTAAAATCGAACTTGTCAATAAACTTATTAGGACATGAATTCATGATTTAAATATTCAACCAAGTTCAATATAATAATAAGTATATAATAAATGTATTACTAACAATATTTAAAAAATAATAATAATAAAAATTATTATCATGTTACCATAAGTTACAATAAAGATTATAAATATGAAATATATTAAAGATTTTTAAATAAATAATTATTAAAATAGAATAAAATAATTATTATTTAAATTTGATATAATTAATATGAGATAAAAAAGAAATTAAAATATATTATATTTATTTATAAAAAATTATATTAAAAAATTAAATTTATTTTTATTTTTTTATCAAAACTGGTTCGATTTAAAAATTTAAACAATTTTTTAATTTTTTTTTAATTTAATTAAAAATAATGAATAATTTATAGAATAAGAATACATCAGTTTAACCAGTCGGGCGGTAAAACAAAGGAGGAAGAAAAACAACCTATAGTTGACATGACTTCAAACTCTTTTACTTATAATACTAAGGAAACAACATCCTTGGAGGAAAGGAAATTGTCATAGGCAGTGTTGCTGTGTGAGAAATGTTAGTGGCTTATTGAACTTAACTCCGCAATTAAAGTATTCAAATCCGAATATGAGGATCCTCCTTCTTCCACTGCCCCTTCGCTAGCTCTGAAAGCACTTTTGTTCTGTTCTTCATTTCAATGGCCTCTTCCCCTGTCATTATCCTCTTCACTGCCTTCTCCATTGCATCCCATCTAACAATATCTCCTCCCACTCCAGCCCATGCTTTGGCACCAACAGGTACCCCAAATTTAAGGACTTCTGTCACCAACTTCTCATTGAAAAATTGGTCCGCAATAAATGGCCAAGTTATCATGGGAACACCAACAGACACTGCTTCCAAGGTCGAATTCCATCCACACTGAGTCACAAATGCTCCAATTGCCTTGTCTTCAAGAATTAACACTGGAGGTGCCCACCCTCTTATGATTAATCCCTTACCTTCCATCCTTTTCTCAAGTCCATCGGGTAGCCATTCGACTCCATCTTCTTTGTTTTTCCTCACTACCCACATGAATTGTTGCCCTGAAGCCTCAAGACCCATAGCAATCTCTCTAAGTTGAGAATCAGGTAAGTTTGTCAAACTTCCAAAGCATATGTAAATAACTGAATTGGGTTTCTTTGTCTCAAGCCAGTTCAGGCACTCATGTCTGTCAATAGATGCCTCCTTTCCTCGATGTGCTTTCTCTTCCGAGTCTTTGTAGCAAAGAGACAAGGGACCAATATGCCATGCTTTTCTTCCAAGCACATTCCTCAAATGATCTGCATAGACATGCTCAAGTTCGTAGAAGCTATTCATAATGACCCGTAGCTTTTAGAGAAATGACATCTAGAAGGGGTGAATAGATGTACAGATTAAAATAGATGCTAAATTAAAAATTTATTTTAAGATGTCCAATAATTTATTAATTCAATTTTAATTATCAAATAAAATATAGATAAAGCGGAAACGATATAATCAGAGAGATAAAGGAAAGGAAATAAGTAAATAATATCACAGAGGTATAAGGAAGATAAAAACACACAATAATTTATATTGGTTCGGGTATCGCCGACTCTACATCCAGGTTCCAGATCAACTCTAATCACAAGAGTGACCCTAACTCACTATCTTTTAAATTCAGTTTACAAATTACAATAAACTCAGCAGAGGAACCAGTAAAAAAACAAACTAATTCAAAAGACAAACACCTCCTTAAAATCCCACTAAAGATGACCACCTCCTCTGAACAAATCAAAGAATGAAAAACACCTCATTTGCCTCCAACACATAAAGGATGAACACCTTCCTATAATCACACTAGGGATGAACACCTCCCCGAACAAATCAAAGAGATGGAAATACCTCCTTAGAATCTCACTAAGGATGAACACCGCCTTTGAACAAATCAAAGGATGAAAATACCTCCCTGAATAAATCAAAGGAATGACAATAGAAAATCCAAACACAAACACACTAACTGTATGCCCACCTAAACCCACAAAGGATGAATGCAATAAAATAAGAGCAACAACCTAAATCCTAAAAAGGGAATTTAACATCAACCACCTAAGCCCACAAAGGATGAAGGTAATAAAATAAGAACAATCACACTTGGGTAATGGAGACAACAAATTGTAGAAGCCTGTAGAATGTCAACCTCCAAGAACAAATGTAATTAACAATGAAAACACAAGGGCAGTAGAGAAGAGAGTTTTCTCAGAAGGTGTAAAATATCATTGTTGCCTTACTTAGAATTCTTTTCTTAAAACTGAATGAATGTAAAATTGTATTTTTAAATTATGTAATTGTGTATATTTGATTTTTCATGAAAACTCATTTAAATAGGAAAATAACATCAGAAAATAGTCGTTGGTCATTAATAATTTCGTAGAGAAAAATAAGGATGTATTAAAAAACATTTATTCTTCAAAAACAAATATATTTTTCAAATTTGAACTGCCATAATCGATTATGTTATCAGTATAATCAATTATGACAGAGAGAAAATTGTTTTTCCATTTTTGATGCATATAATCGGTTATGGCAGTGAAAAATGTCATGTTACGAAATTTTATCATACTTGTGCTTTGGAGGCTTATGCATAATACCACTTATCAACTTGTACCTCCATATCTAGTATTCTAAGACTCTATTTAGTTTTCAGGAATCATCTTGGGCTTGCTTAAATCATCGTCTTTATCAAAATCATATCTTGGGCTTACTTGAGTCTTGAATGTTGTTGACTTGAATCATCATCAAAATCATCTCTTGGAAATGTAGGGACATGTTTAACATTGTCATCAATCTCTCCCTCATTGCTTTCAGTAGCTTCTCAGCTCTGATTCCCTTCCTTCCTCTAACAATTTGGCCATGCTTGTTTTCTCCTTACTCTTTATAAAAGGTGGCAGCTGCATCTTCGTCATTTTAATCTCACCAGGAAGATTAGGAATTAGGAACGACTCAAAATCAAAAGAAACATCTTTGAAAGGCACGTAGAGCATCGTACATGTGTCAGCACACAAGGAGAAGAAACCATTCCCGTGGAAGACTAGCCTAGGAATTCCAAATTTGGCAGTAGCATCAATTGCCCATGGGAAGAATATATTAGCAACAATGCAATTTGGACGTTCCTTGAGTAATAGTTGTTCAAGCGGATCTTGTAGCAAACCGGTAGCCATACAAAATGCATGAACCAAATCTAGAGAAGGTACTGAGTCAGTATTTTCACAGCCACCCGACAAACTAGCCTCGGTAGAAGGGAACTCGATGGTTTGGACATGGATCTTGTTGTCATTAGTTTTGGATTTTCCAATGACTTTGGAGATGAAATGTTCATTGAGGAGTGTGGTGATTACAATGGCCTTCACACCCTTTTTTGCAAATGTTTTTTCCATGTCAATGATAGGTATCATATGGCCATGAGCCAAGAAGGGGAAGAAGAAAATGTGTAGAGGACTATATTCACTAAAAGAATATTTTCCTCGATTGATCTCATTCACTGACTTGGAATAAATATAATGTATAAGCCATAATATTAGGAAACTAATATATTTAGGAAACTAATTATAAACTAAATATATGCTTACCTAAAATACAATAACAAAATATATTTACATATATCTTAATACACTTCCGCAGTTAAAGCAGGAGGACGACGGACACTGAAATTGTCCCTAAAATCATCAAATAACACACGCAAAAGACTCTTAGTAAAGATGTTCAAGATCTGATATCGTGAAGGCACATGAAAAACTTGAACCTGACCACGTACAACCTTTTTCCATACAAAATGTATGTCCATCTCAATATGTTTGATACGTTGATGTTACACTGGGTTGCCCAACAAATAGATAACATTAATATTATCACAATACACAAGAGTAGTCTTGGTAACCGGACAATGTAATTCCAATAACAAATTTTGAAGCCAACACGACTCAAAAATCATATTAGAAACACTCCTATATTCGGCCTTTGCACTAGACCGAGAGAGTGTAGATTGACGCTTGGAGGATCATGACACCAAGTTGTCACCCAAAAACATACAGTAACCCGAGGTAGAACGTCTCGTATCAGGGCAACTACCCCAATCAACATCATTATAAGAAATAAGAGATGAGGTCGAAGATGAATCGAGATGAAGAGCAAGATCAAGTGTACCTTGTAAATACCAGATAACGCGTTTAAGAGCTTGCATATGATCCACCCTCAGATCATGCATATATAAGCACAACTTAACGTTGGTGTCAACCGGTGTTGGAGACGACTTGCAAGAAGACATATCGACCCGATCAATAATTACTTCGACATATTTGCGTTGTGAAAGGAACATACCACTCTTATACCAGGTCACTGCAATGCTAAGAAAATAGTTCAAAGGACCAAGATCCTTCATAGCAAATTCTGAGCTCAGAAGGTTCATAATATATAATTGGAGATCATGAGAAAAGACAGTAAGAATAATGTTATCAACATAGAGCAAAATATAAGTCATGTGCGAACCCTTTCGATAAATAAATAATGAGTGGTCACATTTTCTATTAGAGAAAGCAAGAGACACAACATAATCAACAAACTGCTTATACCAAGCATGTGATGCTTGTTTAAGCCCATATAATGACTTACATAAACGACACACATAATCAGGATAAGTACGGTCACAATACCCCAATGGTTGATGCACATAAAATGTTTCTTGTAGCTCATCATGACGAAAAGCATTTTTGACATCCAACTGGTGTATGTGTCATGCCTTTGAAAGAGAAATAGAAAGAATGGTATGAATCGTAGCAGGTTTCACTACCGAGCTAAAAGTTTCGCCATAATCAATGCTAACCTGCTAAGTTTTCCCATTACCTACAGGACGGACATTAAAAGATGTCATGTGAGAGGTAGCTTCAGTGTCCATGTACCATGATGGATCAAGGGGACTTAGAGACATAGTATGCATCACCGCTTCAATATTTGTAGGAACATCAGAAGTGGACTGCCCATTCTGAGAGGCCATGTAAGCCTACTATGGGCGTGACCCAAGAACGTCGGATTGTTATTGCTGTCTCTATGGTGCTGGACCCCGTGCCCACCCCTGATTTGGATATGGGCATGGAGGAGCTCATTGAGGCATCCAACCCCAAGGTGGGTAAATCGACCAAGGTAAAAACTCCCAATGTGGCTGTTGTTGTGGACTCCCACCAAACTGCTGTGGACCACCACTATCATTCCCTGTATGGCCGGATTTGCCACCGTCAGACCAACGACCATCTCCATCGGATTTTTTTCTAGAATTCTTACGATATCCAAACGGCTTCGCACGATGTTGCTGGTGGTGTAGCTAGTCCGAATGTGAAGAATTTGAGTCGTAAACGGATTGGGAGACAGTCACCATTGCTGACTTCGATCCCATGGTAGCCTCCTTTGCCAATCTGGTTTCCTCAAGTGTGAGCATCAATCGAGTCCAATAAAAGGGAGGTAGGGGATCACTCTACCAAATTAATGTCCTTACACCGTGATATACACTTGTGAGACCTGAAACAAGTTGAATGAAGAGGCAACTCTCTGACACTGGTGCTCCAACATTTTTCAACTGATTAGCAAGGGGCTTGAGATGTTGACAATATGCCGAAGCATTCGGAAAATTCTCCATCTTAGTAGTGGAGAATTCAGCCTCAAGAGTTACCACACACGAGAATGTTTGTTGTCTTGGAAAATATCTCTCAACCTATTCCAAGCATTGATGGTCTTGGCATTAGGTTGAATAATTGTATGCAACAGGTTATTAGAGATGGTTGCATAAAGCCAGGAAAGAGCCTTTGCATCAAGAGTCGACCATAATTCTTTTTCATCCTCAGTCACAGGTACCTTCTCTTTGCCATTAGCAGGAGGAATAATGTGATGAAGGACCTTACGAGAACGTGCAATAATTTTAAAATGTTCTGCCCATGTAGAGTATTGGATATTCTCCATTTTAAGAGTGATGAAAATATGGCTCCGTATATTGGAAATCACAAGAGTCAGATAGAAAGAACTCTTGTTATCCGTCATGACAGTGAGAAAAAGAAGAAAAAGATAAATGAAGGGGAACGAAGAAGAAGAAGCGTAATTGCCCTAAAAATCTGATACCATAAAATAATATTTTCCTCAATTGATTTCATTCACTAACTTAGAATAAATATAATATACAAACCATAATCTTAGAAAACTAATTAAATTGTTAGAAAAGTAGTTTTAAATCAAGAGGGGGGGTGAATTGATTTTTGAAAGTTTTTCGCAATACACAGATTATCTAATTCGAAAATTAAGATTACTTATCAATTCACAAATCACAAAGCAATCAAACAGTTTAAGTGTAGCAGCAGAAATTAAAGAGAGAAAGGTTAGGAAAGATTTCACCGGTAATTTTATACTTGGTTCACCCAATACCAGGGCTACGTCCAGACTCCAGCCAAATTCCAGCTGGGTTCCACTAGAATAGATGTTTTACAGACTCACCCTCTTACACCTATTCTAACTCTCCACCAAGAACCAAATTCCAGCTCTTGGAAACCTCTGCAACCAAATTCCAGCCGCAGAGAAACCAGTGCCCAAATTCCAGGCACCACACACAAGAACCAAATTCCAGCTCTTGCTTTAACCTTTCCACCAAGAACCAAATTCCAGTTCTTGGAAACTTCTACAACCTCTACACAGCTGCAGAAAACTTGTACCCAAATTCCAGGTACAAAACAGTACAAAAGAATGAATAGAAATTGAAAAGAAGAAACAAAGAAAGCTCAAACCGGATTACACCAATCCACAGTCAGTTTCTTCTTCAAAGAAATGCAAAGTGCCTCAAGAAAGATTTCAAAAGAAGTTCACAAAAACAGTTGTGTATCTTTCTTGAAAAATGCTAATAGTTGTTTGTATTGATTGCTTGAATTGTGTCAAAACTGATATTCAATCTCTATCTCAAAGTTTCAAGCAAATCTGTTTATAAAAGAGTATTTTCAAATCTGCTGCATTAATTAATCTGTTGAAAGTTTGTTTTAATCTGTTGAAATAGCCGTTATAATCTGTTAAAAGTCCTTTCAACCCATTAATGCATTCTTGATCTTTAACAGAAAATGTTTTAGTTGATACAACCATGTTTATATCAGTTAAAACGTTTTACAAACATTTTCTAAGTATAAAACAATCGATTGAATCGCGTATTAATCGATTGATTTGTTTAAAAACCTTCTTATAAAACTTTCCAAGTTATTTTAGCTGATATAAAGTCGTTTCAATCGATTGAAAATCTGCACATATATTTTCAAGTCATTTTAATCGATTGAAAGTTCGTTTTAATCGATTGAAAAGATTTTCTAAGTTATTCTAATCGATTGAAATGCGTTTTAATCGATTGAAATAAGTCTGATCGGTCATAATTCAATTCTGATCGATCATAACCAACTCTGATCGGTCATAATCTCATTCTGATCGATCATACTGACATCCAAAGTGATTTTAATCGATTGAAACGTGTTTTAATCGATTAAAATAATTCTAATCGCTCATATTTAAGATCTGATCGATTATATTGCATTCTGACCTATTATATTCGAATTCTAATCGGTCATAAAGAGTTTTAATCGATTAAAAGAAGTTTGTATCGATTAAAATATTGTAAAAACACTTTTTAAAACATTCTAAGTGTTTTAAATTGATTCTTTCAAACCTTTATCAGTTAATAACTTGTTTAAGAAAATTCTTTGCCAAAATGCTTTTGTTTTTGATTTGTTTAAAACTATTTTTGAGGCATTTTGCAAAATGAATGAAGGAGCTTCATGCAGTGGAAAAGGTAAAGTGGTTTTACCTAAGCTTTACGTTAAGACACACTAAGTCTTCGACTCCATTTTTACGAGTGACTTGTTTGACTAGCTGCAGAGTTGACCCTTGACTTTATCTTTGACTTCATCAAATCAATGAGATCTTTGCTAGGATCACTTTCGGTCTCCCCCTATTTGATGAAGACAAACACCATTTTGAAAAAACAATCTACGCAAAATAAGTCACTTGATAATGCGGTTAGGTGAGAAATATAAGAATGTAATAAAGTTTTGTTTCTCCCCTAAAACTTATTTCTCCCCCTAAAATGTTGCACTTAAATTTATCTTAAAGTGATGCAACTATTTCTCCCCCTTTTGACTTCATCAAAAATAGGGAATAGAAGAGAAAAAAATAAAATGTAAGGTTTCGAAAAATATGCTCAAGTTTTTGAAAATACAAAGTGAATCAATATTTCACTCATGAAAAGAATCAATTAAAGTTGATTCAAACTTATCTCCATTAACACGTTTGTAATGAATACAATTAACACGTGTAAAGATAAGGGAATCATGCTTTAGTAGCATGTTACAGGAACAGCCATTAACTAAAG